TTGCTGGAGACAATCCAGGCATAGGCGTGAGTGTATATTGTAAGGAGCAATGTATCCTGTAGGCGAGGATTGTATGTTAAGGGCAGCATTAGGGAGTGTGGTGGTTTTTGTGCCCACGTGACGCGTTGTAGATGTGCCCATCATGTAGGCAGACCTACATGATGTAGGCAGACCTACATGATGTAGGCAGGTCTACATGATGGGCGAGTAGGATAACGACAGCTGTCCTGAGTGTCGTGGGTTTTCAGGCGTGTTGTGGCCGAGGTAAGCAGGCAAAGCAGACTGTCAGGCAGGCAGAGGGGGAAAGGCAGGCTGACTGGGGAGGCGGAGAGGCTGGTAGGAGACATGCTAGTGCCGCTTGATCAGGTGCGGAGGGTCACACACCGCCTCAGATGTAGGCCAGAATTTCTCAAGAGTTTCCTCTCCACACATTAACCGGCACTATCGAGGCTCACCCACTGTGCACGAGACGGTACCGTAATTATCAGTGGGGCAGCCAAACCGTGTCTTCTGTCGACGTTTGGCTCAGCTCCCACAACCACCTCCTCCAGTACTTGGAAACAAAAAAGGTGTATCAAAGCACAATTCCCTGATCTGGTATCACTCCACCCGCGCCTGCTCAAAACTTAGCGTCTCCAGTCATCCGAAGAAATGTTCCTTGACCTTTACACTTTTCCATTTCAAACTTACATACTCAAACTTTTCTCGGCCATCCGCAAGTCTTCATCATCACTAAACGTATTTTGTAATTATTCTTATGGTAGGTGGCACAAAGTGATTCATCAGAGGTCCACAGTTGTTCAACATCCTCCCAGCAAGAATTATAAATATTGCCAGAACAAAGGTGGATGTATTCAAGAAGCACTTAGATAATTTCTTGCAAGAAGTGCCGGACCAACCAGGCTGAAGTGGGTATGTGGGCCTGCAGGCCGCTCCAAGCAACAGCCTGTTGGACTAAGTTATCACAAAGGCCGGGCTCGGGGAATAGAGGAACTGATAGAACTCTCTCCAAGTATATACACCTTCCAGTTCTCCTGTGGGAGTGTTGCTTTGCCTGGCCCTTGTTCTGGCAACACTGCTGATCTTGGGCCAGCATATTACCAACACGACAACCATTATTTTAACAGTTGTAATCATTTTTGCTCAGTCTTGGGTTATTTTCATACTGCAGTGTTGTAATCACAGGCGTTTAGATCACTGCAGTGTTGTAATCACAGGCGTTAAGATCACTGCAGTGTTGTAATCACAAGATTTTAGATCACTGCAGTGTTGTAATCACAGGAGTTTAGATCACTGCAGTGTTGTAATCACAGGCGTTTAGATCACTGCAGTGTTGTAATCACAGGAGTTTAGATCACTGCAGTGTTGTAATCACAGGCGTTTAGATCACTGCAGTGTTGTAATCACAGGAGTTTAGATCACTGCAGTGTTGTAATCACAGGAGTTTAGATCACTGCAGTGTTGTAATCACAGGAGTTTAGATCACTGTAGTGTTGTAATCACAGGAGTTTAGATCACTGCAGTGTTGTAATCACAGGAGTTTAGATCACTGTAGTGTTGTAATCACAGGAGTTTAGATCACTGCAGTGTTGTAATCACAGGAGTTTAGATCACTGCAGTGTTGTAATCACAGGAGTTTAGATCACTGCAGTGTTGTAATCACAGGAGTTTAGATCACTGCAGTGTTGTAATCACAGGAGTTTAGATCACTGCAGTGTTGTAATCACAGGAGTTTAGATCACTGTAGTGCAACTTGCAGAAAGTGTATTGACATTTTACTATGTCCTATATTCAGTACAGTTTTAACAATTCCTCATAATATAGTAATTCTCGAGAAAAAAAGAGGAGCAGCAGCAGAAGTTACAGCTACAGGGAAGGGGTTGCGGCAGGAGCGTGTTTAGTGATGAAGGAGGTAGAAGTGGAGGTTGCACGCCGGCTTGTGGTGGGGAATTTCAACGCACCTCACACCAAGATCTTCCCTCTCCGTCACACACTACACCACCCAAACTTGTTTCTCACCCACACACTTAATATCAGTACCTCTCCTCTAACACCACAGCCTCTCACGCTACATCAGGGTCTCTCTCTCTCTCTCTCTCTCTCTCTCTCTCTCTCTCTCTCTCTCTCTCTCTCTCTCTCTCCTCCACACAGGGGTATAATTGGGTATCTTTTCAAAACCAACGCCCCACGCCCAACCTTACCTATCTGGCCTCGCAAGTAGCCATTCATTGTCAGTGGCTTGTTATCTTACTCAAGTCAGGCCACCCGAACTTACGATAACCTATGCAGCCTACTAAGATATCACATTCGAGGGGAATTTTTAAACAAACACAGATATGGACGTTATATATTTTAACCTGTCTTCACACTCGCTGCACTGCAATTCTGACCTCGGATCACAGCGTCAAAATTAGGATGCTCTAATGAAATTAATAACACCGCAATATTGATGTTTCCTTCGACTAATATGTATCGGCCTTGATGGGTTAGGAGGGTTGTGTGTACGCTTCTGGTTAGGCTAAACAACATCAAATTTAACGCTTGTCAGATCGTGAGAACGAGTGGCCAATTCCACCACGTGAGACAACATACACCATAGAGTCGTCGTTCTTTTGTCTCGACGGGAAAACTATCCTCCATCAATCATTTTTATAGGAAGTCTATTTACCGGTATGTTATTTTGCAACTTCTTCAACCATGTCTGAACACAAAATGTTGCAATCAATTATCGCAGTAATGATTCTTCAACATACGTTGAATTTCCGCTGCATGATTGAAAAAAGGATGCCATGTGCGAGTCATTGAAACAAGGCCTTTGGTCATTAGTACATCCACCAACCAGACTGCCACTCACCTGGGTATTGAGCAAGGCACGAAGATCACCAGGCGAGCCCAATTGGGGCTCGAAGAGTCCTTGACACCTGACATGTGAATGTCAACTCTCGCGCGCTTGACACGCGTTCATCTTGACACACACCTGTTTATCTCATAACACAGGTGTGTGTGGCAAGAGGAAGTAAGCGTCCCTTTGCCACAGATGCTGCGTCATCTCCGCCATATGTTTGTTATCCACAGAAAACTTTCGTAATTAAAGTGATGACAGATAACTCGAAGTCAGCGATCGCCATATGATATGTTGATCGCCAAGATATGATGCAATGAAGGCAGAATGGTGGAGAAGTCAAAGTTCATGTCTTGCCATATACAGGTTGCTCTAATATGGATCTTGCAACCTTGCACTCTGGCGAGATGACACTTCCAAAGGCGTGTTGTTAAAATATAACACTGTTACCATGGGGGAAAGCGACCCTATAGGCTTATACATTTTGCAACGGACTATTGCATTTCTCTTGGGTCCCAGGTGTGTTGTATACCTTGATTATATCAGGAGTATACCTGGAGAGTATTCTGACAATTGTTCTCCCCAAGCCCGGACTGAGGTCAGGCTTTGTCTTGTAATAATTTGGGCCATCAGACTGGTTCTTGGAGAAGCTCGCAGGCAAATATATCCACTACAATCCGGTTGGTGTAAGTGTAGATGTACAGTAAGTGTGTTCCTGTGGTGTAGTTTGAGTTTATCTTGTCAGGATTGATTGATTAATTGATAGAGATTGCTATGGTGTCTAAACAAAGGTGTCATAGGAACTCCAGTTAAGATGGAGTCGGTGATAAGTGAGGGTGTCAAGGCGGCGTTTTGGGATAGGTGTCATATCTCTATAATATGACACCTATCCACCTGTCATATTATGCCACCTGTCTATAGGCCTCTTACTTGGCTCTTTAAGTGGAGCTAATATGACACATGAGGCAATGAAGTTAATAGTGGCGAAGGTGATAAAAAGTGGTGGTATAGGTGGGTGGTGGTTATGGTGGTGGTTGTGGTAGTGGTTGAGGTAGTGATGGTGGTGGTAGTGTTTTTTTTATTATTACTATTTTCTACCACAGACGTGGCCTCACATTTACAATGCTAACCAGCACATGTATACAATTTCTTGTCCTCCATGGACAGGGTTAGAAATCTGTTAAACATATAGTTTAGCGATTTATTGAATAATCAACCACAGAGTGATTGTAGTGCTTATAAAATGCTAATGTAACCTACATACATAAATACACAGATTTACGTCTGCCCTACATAAACAGTGTTCGATGTGTCTCTTTACATAATATTAGTGTTCGTTTACAAAAGTGAAATGCAATTCAGACCAGTTTCCAAATATCCTGTATACACACACACACACACATATATATATATATGAGAGAGAGAGAGAGTGGTAGTGATGGTGGTGGTAGCAGTTGTGGTAGTGATGGCAGTGGTTATGGTGATAGTTTTAATGGTTTGTGTTAATGATAATTGTTGATAATTTCGGAGGTCGTGTAAGCCCTCCACTCCCCCCCCCCCCTCCCTCTCTCACCCACTGGTGGGTTAGCCCTCCACCTCCCTCTCACTTTCTAGAAGCATTATACATCCCTCCCTCCCTTATCCATCTGCAAGAAGCCTACATTAGCGTCCCCCTTTCACCCACATGTGGGAGTCATGGCCCCCTGCATCCCTCCCTCTCACCTATGCCAGAATCCGACACCCGTAACTTGTCTCTTCTCGCCTGGAGGAGTCACCCAGATGCATTAAGATAGAGTTCACCCGTTTAAGTCCTCTAACAGAATCTTTTACGGATTGAGAGTGGAGGAGGAGGAGGAGGGAAGTCAGACAAATTAGCCGAAGGGAGGTAGGAAAATTTCAGGAAGGTAGGAAAGTAACTCAGATGTGAGGGGTGGAGGTTAGAGGCGTGAGGGGGTATGAGGGAGCAACCAGAGCAATTCAGGTTAGTCCAAGGGAGGAAAAGTAAGCACTATTAGGGATAGTTAGCACGAGTTAGGTGTATGAGCTATGACAGTAGGGGTGAGCAGTGTGATGGAGGCAATATGAGTGCAGAGAAGTAAGGAAGACGAGTGTGATGGCGAGGAGAGGAGAGCCAGGCTAAGCTGAAGACGACACTCACCTTTACAAACACCTTCAGGAGAGCAGACGAGGCCGTACTCAGCGTCACAGGGCAGGGAAGGGTGAGAGCAGGGGTCGCCCTCCTGCTGGGCACACACCTTGCAGCAGGGGCAGTCCGCCCGCTCCACCACACGCCCACGACACCCACCGCCGCCCTCACACGCCGGCGAACATTCACAAGTCTCTACAGCAGAGTTGTCAGGTGGGCCGCCCAGCTGTGCCCACGCCAGGTAGGGCGCCAACGCCGCTACCACCAACACCGCCCGCGATACTACCAACATTGTCAACACGAGCGCTGGCCAGTACACACGCCACTCAAGGGGCTCACTAGTACTTGTTCAAACTTGAAACGGGACTAATGCTAGCACATTTTTGTATTTGGGTGTTTATGAGTGTGGTGCGATACTACAGTACGATCCAACCTCCACTACAGGGAACCATCAACTATCGGAGACCTGCGAGATGAACGCGATACCTCACCGAACCTGTCGTACACCACCTTATTGCAAACTATAAAATTACCCAACTATAAATTATGAAATTAAACAAGTACATTTAAACTCAAATTCCTAATATATTTTGCATGGCTACAAACTTAAACCACATTCCAAAGAATAACACATAATTTAGATATATTTCCAGATTATATCGTACGTCCGCCAACGAGAATTCCAGTCTTGAGATTCGTGCTTGTGTCCACAGAGGGCAGCACTCTTTCGGGTCACCAAAGATCACTACCACCGACTAGTTATTCATCCTGAGAGTTATCCAAAATCTTGAAGTCTTCTTAAATAAAATGCAAGATTCATATTTTCATCTTAAAATGCTGTAAATGGCGTCAAAAAGGGTTAAGAATCAGGAGGATGTTCCAGACAAGGGGGGAGGTAGGCGCGAGCGGGCAGCCTGGAGGACACCACCCCTTCTTGATGCTGCTGATTGCTATGCCCGGTGCCACTGTCTTAAGCCTTTTGTTCTGAGCAGCATCGCAGTCTCCCACCCCAGCGATGCTTCGACACGGCCAGGTTATGCTGTGATCTCCAGGGCACGGAGTGCACCACTGTCACGTCTCGGGGTGGGTTTTGGGCACGGGGTGTACCACTGTCACGTCTCGGGGTGGGTTTTGGGCACGGGGTGCACCACTGTCACGTCTCGGGGTGGGTTTTGGGCACGGGGTGCACCACTGTCACGTCTCGGGGTGGGTTTTGGGCACGGGGTGTACTACTGTCACGTCTCGGGGTGGGTTTTGGGCACGGGGTGTACCACTGTCACGTCTCGGGGTGGGTTTTGGGCACGGGGTGCACCACTGTCACGTCTCGGGGTGGGTTTTGGGCACGGGGTGTACCACTGTCACGTCTCGGGGTGGGTTTTGGGCACGGGGTGTACCACTGTCACGTCTCGGGGTGGGTTTTGGGCACGGGGTGCACCACTGTCACGTCTCGGGGTGGGTTTTGGGCACGGGGTGCACCACTGTCACGTCTCGGGGTGGGTTTTGGGCACGGGGTGTACCACTGTCACGTCTCGGGGTGGGTTTTGGGCACGGGGTGCACCACTGTCACGTCTCGGGGTGGGTTTTGGGCACGGGGTGTACCACTGTCACGTCTCGGGGTGGGTTTTGGGCACGGGGTGCACCACTGTCACGTCTCGGGGTGGGTTTTGGGCACGGGGTGTACCACTGTCACGTCTCGGGGTGGGTTTTGGGCACGGGGTGTACCACTGTCACGTCTCGGGGTGGGTTTTGGGCACGGGGTGCACCACTGTCACGTCTCGGGGTGGGTTTTGGGCACAGGGTGCACCACTGTCACGTCTCGGGGTGGGTTTTGGGCACGGGGTGTACCACTGTCACGTCTCGGGGTGGGTTTTGGGCACGGGGTGCACCACTGTCACGTCTCGGGGTGGGTTTTGGGCACGGGGTGCACCACTGTCACGTCTCGGGGTGGGTTTTGGGCACGGGGTGCACCACTGTCACGTCTCGGGGTGGGTTTTGGGCACGGGGTGTACCCCTGTCACGTCTCGGGGTGGGTTTTGGGCACGGGGTGCACCACTGTCACGTCTCGGGGTGGGTTTTGGGCACGGGGTGTACCACTCACGTCTCGGGGTGGATTTTGGGCACGGGGTGCACCACTGTCACGTCTCGGGGGCGGGTTTTGGGCACGGAGTGCACCAGTACCACCTGGACGCCCAGGACACAAGAGTGCACCAGTAGAGCACCACTGGTTGCTGTAATCAGCCAGTCAAATCAGTGCCTTTATTGCGCTCTCATTATACAAACCCGAATCTGACTGTACAGTGTTACCACACCCGACAAACATGAATTAGAGGTCCAGTTCTAACTGAGCGTGGGCGGTCGCTGCGCGCCAGTGAGCTGAAGGCCCAGTCAGCTCACAATTAAAACGTCCCGGGTTCGATTCCCTTAGCCGCAGTCAATTCACAACCGAATGGTTCCTGGCTTGATTTCCAATTAGGTCGAGAGATTTAATCTACGTTTCTTTATATCTACCGCTATTGATGTAGCAGTAGGTACCCGAGCAAATCAACTGTTGTGGTGTGCATCCTGCAGAGGGGGAACAACTGGCCTAACAATTTCCTGTCCCAGAAAATAGGGAAACCGTTTAATAATGGCCTAACATGAAGTGTTCCTTCGTAAAAGGTAAAATTGAATACAGTATATATTATATATATATATATATTATTATATATATTACGAGCGTGTGTGTACTGGTATGACCTGGAGCTTTTGTTTTGAGGTTTACAGCAAACTCTTGTTTACTGCCAGTGTTACAGTGGAGTCTTGCCTCACTCTTCTGATAACATCTTACACATAATATTTTGTACATTGAATTGTCTTCCACACTTCCGTGGAAATTGTAAACATTCCAATCACCTGGGCTCTGGGAGACTCGAACCTTGGACCCCACGCGTGTGTGTGGCCGAAGCTCTATCGCCCGGGGCTCTTCCTCCCCCCCCCCCATCTCCTCTTCCTCCCACTTCCCACACTCAGAAAATATATTATTACATGGCAGTATACAACTACGGGAAACAACCAATATTTAATACGTGACGTCAGGAAAATCGCATGAGGGTCATATGAATGCCTATATTTCGTAAAGCATTTCATCTGGGCCGACCCTGACTGGCTTATGACACTACCCCCACCCAACATGATTCATCTTTGTGACGCATCACAACGTGGCGATGTTCTGCGTTGTGACGTATGGACAACCACAGCAGATACGTCAGAGAACTCCAGCGTCAAATGATATAAAAGAAAATGAGAGATAGAAATGGCTACGAGCCGGGCATCAAGAGCTAGACTTCACTCTCTTCTACCCTCTCATTCTTCTAGCCTTATTGAGTCTTTCTAAACCCTTTCACAATCACCGCTCGCATTCTTCTCCAGCCTTCTCTTATTCGCTCTGCAGCACTCGCTCCCAACGCCCTTTCCTTCACCTAACGCTTCCTAATTCACACTTCCCTCAGCCCTCTAGAGGGGCTCTAGACCTTTATCTCCCTCCCCGATCACTAGCACAACTAGTCAACCACACACTTACCCCGGTTCATTCTCACTGATTGATGAAGATTGATGAAGATTAAGCACCCAAGAGGTGGCACGGGCATGAATAGCCCGTAAGTGGTGGCCATTTTGAGCCATTACCAGTATCAAGAGCTGATACTGGAGATCTGTGGAGGCGCGACTGCACCCTGCGTGACGGGAGATGTCTCCCGGACCAAGTGGTGACCAGATGGTGACATTCTCACTATTCACTCTCCGACCTAATACTCTTACCCCAACCTATCCTTCACGCTCCTCACTCAACGGCAAACCATCCACTCCCCCCCCCCCCCTCCCGATGAACAAACAATTAACAACACCAGCCGAAGCAACACCTTGCATAACAATGACCATCCGGTGTTCTCCACACAAGCGCGGATAACGTAATCAAGAACCGGACTGTATTCCATTATAATTGCCAAAAGTTTCACAATGCTATTAAGGCCACAGCGAAGTCCGGGAATTGTTCCAAAGTTCCAAATATTACCGAAAAAAGACTGGGATATACAAGTATATTGCGAGGAAGATATTTGAATAAAAACAAAATCTGAACTAGGAAACAGAAGATATAAATCCCCAAGCTTACGTGAACTGCCAATAAGCTGGCCGACCCCATGCAAGTCATATTAGATGTTGCAACGTCTTGACTGATGGAGGTCAGGCAAGGTATAGAGAATGGACCCTGCCTCTCTCTCTCATCTGTGTCTCACATGTCCTATTATACCGTTGCTCCTTGTGTCCACCTCCAACATGGGTCACGGACTGTTTACCGAGACGAAGACCTGTACCAGGTGTTAGGTCAGGCAACACATCTAACTCGGCGCGGCCTACTCGGGACGAGTCGCTCTAGGCCCATGTGAGGATGGCTCACCAATACGGTCCCCCAGAGAGGAGCAAGGACACAGGGGAGGCTGGGGAAGGAGCCATGCCTGAGGGTAGAAAGCTAATTTTCTCCTACCTTGATGAGTCAGGTACCTTGACGAGTCAAGTACCTTGATGAGATTCAGTGAGTTTTATCTTATCTCTTCTTTTTAAGCCAAGACACTGAAATACAATAATATTAATGAAAATATACAATGAAAAATATTTTATATAATAATAATAATAATAATAATAAACCTGTTTAAATACTAAAAATAAAAAAATAAATTCGAAAATAAAGAATAAATCAAAATAATAAAGAGACTTTGTGAACGTAAACGAAGATATTTTAATGTAGTTTAACCGAGGTCAACAAACACAAGTTGTCACGGCAGACGTGACAGCAGACATTGTCTGCACTGTCATTTAATGCAGACCTTCTTATAATGTTACAGAACAGTCTGGGAAAGGTACCCTGTTAGTCTAAACAAGTGTCCCCTCCCTTTCAGTGCGATGTCCCATCCAGTTACTGTCCACACATAACGTTGTTTAACTTCACTCACTGAATAACTATTTAATTCATTAATGTTGTTGATCTTAAAAATGTTCAGCCTACAAAATGAGTAAATAATAAAATATTGTTCAATATCCATTTTATAACAATGTAGGTACTTATATACATTTATTACCGAACAAATAGAAAAAAAACCCAAAGGTAATATTACAAATCTAATATAAAAAAAGATGGTGAAAAAGAAGACATGCAACAATTTACTTTATTTCAACAAAATGCTAATATCTGCTAATGCCTTACTGCCTACAGAATAATAAAGTATATTAAGCATCTCTGTGCAGTTACTCCTTGTATTGATGGCAAATGTTTTATCAAATGCAAAGAAAACGCAGTTGAATGCCAAGTAAGATAAGTATCCAAACATCACCTCTTGCATGTAAATTAAATTAGCAGCATAATGAATACAGCATTATATTCAAAGATTATTTTCATGGCAAACGAAAACTACAAATGACTTGA